AGAATAATTAAATTATTATTTTATTTATTAAACAAACTATTGAAGAGAATACAATTAGTTTTCTACAGTATCAAAGATTCTGTATGATAAGAATCGATAAATAGTAATTAATGTGATAGTTATAAGACAGAACATCCATTGATCTGCAAAGAGACACAAAGAGACACAACTACTAAACAATCCAATTTCTATAATGAATTTCATATTAGAACAAGATATGCAACATAACTTTTTATCTATGGAAGAGAAGGTTTAGGTATTATTTCATACAGTGGAAGTGGCTTTCACTTGAAGGATTGAAAATATTCAACCGCTCTAATCAACAGCAACATTCTACGAGTATAACCAAGCGAGATATCAAAATTAAGACAATTTTGAAGATGAATTGATAAATGAAGACATTACCGAACTTTTTGAAGTTGAACATGTTTAAGCTAACCGTAATATAATATTTTGGTGTTATACAAAAACCTGAGAAGAATCATTAAACATGTACTTAAATGTGTTCCGAAATAAATTTTACATTTATTTACAGAAAAGTAACCGCAACATAATTTGACGTAAAAAGACGGGTACATTTTATTTTATAAATAAATGTCTATCCTTCAGATACTATCTGTGAGATGGGACAATATTTATCTGGAGGTAAAAAGACCGGCCCTCTTATGCAAGAAGTTTACTATTTTAAATATTTAATTCTTTTGAAAATTTTGTAGATCCTAAAAAATTGGCTGCGAACTTGGCTTTTGGCTTTTTATGCTGGGTTGTGGTCGAGAATTCTGTTAGGTGGGCAAGACTGAGTGGATTTTAATGACGGCAGAACTCTGGATACCAAGTAACAACTAGGTTTCATCAACAACTAAGGAAGAGGAAGAAACAAGATTCAGTCAACTGGAAATTGTGGAATTGAGGGACCCCAAGAACTTAAGGGCTTTGATGGTTTGAATGGAGTAATGCAGAATTATTTAAAGGGGCAGTCAACAAAGTCCGCATAGCCATGATGATTTCCAACCTTCGATAGAACATGGAACTTGAAGAAGAAGAAGACAGGCCCTGTTTCCGAGGTTAAAGAACTGCATATTGAAAACCGGTTAAAATAACTGCAATAAGTCTTAGACAGATCCGGCAAGCCATCATGGCCGTCACAAGAAGGAAAAAGTACCTACTGAATTAAAAGTGGCTCGAGAGTGGTTGTTAAAGTCTATTCGAAAGGAATAAACAAGATGTAGGGTACAATGTGTGAAGGTATTTACTGTACAAACTACAATCTACCTGTAAAATATTATTTTTTCTAATAAAACACAACAATTTTAGTTTCATTCATAAACACAAGATGGATTATTTGTTTTACAAATCATTTTTGTCATTACTATAATTAAGAACTTAGGATGTTGGACGCTGAAACGTCTGATGTTTTGCTATTTCAATATATAAACTAAAATTAGAAAAGCTAGTCAAACAAATAATAAACATTGCACATTATTGACCAATTAATCTATCCGTCGAGTGTTCTAAACCATCTGTTTCGCCGATCTCAAGTTGATACCAAGTTATATCAGAATATGTAAATATTTAGCTTTGCAACGAATAAACAAATAATATACACACTACAAATATAACTCCTTTATTTAAAATTAATATACAGGGCACTCTATTAGATTACTATTTAGATTTGACAACAGTAGTGTTGCAGAACAAAAAACTCCATAAACAGCTTTTATATTTTAGAAAATAAGTATTCGTTCATTTGAGCTCAATTATGCAATACCTTTGTTGAACTGTAAGTCCATAAATTAATTAAAATCTAATTATTGAAATAACCCAAGATAGATATAACTCTACTAAAAGAAAATGACACCAAGAAAAAAGTAAAAACAGGAACTAATGAGAATTTTGCGAAAATAGTTGAAGACACTACTAGAGGCATAGAAGAACAGTGGAACCAAATAAAGACATCCATTACCACAATTGCACATAAAACCAAAAAGAGAAAAAAAGGAAGAATGGATGACAGATAAAATATTGCAGATGATGGAAGAGCGAAAAAAATTAAAAGGTAGAAATGACAACGAATACAAAAAAATCCACAAGGAAAATAAATTCCTGCAGCTGGCTGTATACCATGTACCACAAAAAGAAATTTAAATAATTGTAAGTAGGTATATTTAAAAACCCTTAAAAGGGCTACATAAAAATAATAAACGTTTTCGGAATAATAATCCATCATCAGGTTAAAAGCAGGCACATGCCTGAGCCACAGTTATCAAAAAATGTGCATATTGTTGTTAAAAATTAATGATATTTCATATTTTATAGATTTTACTTCAGGCAACATATAACCATGCCTTACGTGAGTACCAGCGTCCGGAGCGTAGACCTCTTCAAACGGACTTCAGCTGGTAATTGCCAGCTAGTCCAGTGTTGCGATACAGTGTTGCTGGCAGATAGTGCGCAGGGGCTCCAAAAGATGATGGATAATGCTGTAGAAGCATGTAACAAATACGGACTAAAACTAACTTGCAAGAAGACACAAATAATGACCGTTAGTAAGAACACCGGCATAAATTACCATTAACGATACACCTTTAGAAAGAGTGGAAAAAATATGCTGTATAAAAAGAGTGGCTGCAATATTAAGGATACTTGGGATCACAGCTACGAAATAAAAACTCGTATTGAAAAATGCCAGTAGCCTTAGAAAGATTCTCTGCAACTTACCTTTAACAACAATATACCTATAAGAATTTTTAGATATTACGTCTTTAGTGTCCTCTCCTAGTTACGTGTCCAGAGGTTAAGAAATTATTAATACTGGTCTAACGATAACTGATCTATTTCGAGCTGCTGTGAATAGAATAAGATGGGTCAATGTGCTCGCCAACATATCTAGAAGATAGGCACATTTAGAAGAAGATTGAAATAACTCTAAATGGCCAGCTTAGATTTTACAAGTACTATTATTACAGTAACTATTAGAGTACCGCCTATTGTATGACTTTTATTAAATAAAAATTTAGAAAACAGATGGTATTGTTTTATATACCTATGTAAATATATCTGCCTCTCTCGGCCAACATAAAAGGTGTATTGTATGAAGTCGTCGAATCATCCTGTACACGTGCGGCAAAATAAACAGAAAGCCAACTCAATAACCGAGAGCAATAATTCAAAATTGTCAGTTACGCGAGGGTAAATTCCAAAAGATTAAAACGGTAAACTGAACCTAATATCTTATATATTCACACGCACAAACACGTAATTTATCATTCTTTTATCTGTCTACCCCTCTTGCAAAGAGATGTGTTATCTCTATTAAACTGGTTTGATTACTTTACTATTGATATCGGTGTTTATGTGTGCCACAACAACCATTTATGTTCAAGATTTTCGTTCTAGGGATCGTTAAAATATTTCCTTTTGACTATCTATAAATATTTTTGGATATGTTAAGGATTTTGGAACAAACTATTAATTGAAAAAAGCCAAAGAAAACACTACTCGATACTCACAAACTATGAGAAAATCTTCTGTAACAGGAAACTATCAAACTGAAAGAATCTGCTATAGAACCTCAAACTTCTGTAAGATATTAAAAGGCAACACATTTGCGGACAGGACGGTATATCCCGTCATGCGCACAGTGACAAGACGCGATGTACCGTCCTAACAACCAGTTTCGTATAATACTCAAAGTGTAGTACTCATACGATCACGATTGGTGGCCTAGCTAACATCAAAATGTTTCGTAAAATGTCTTATTGTCTTAATACAAAGGCTTTTGCAACTGATGGAAGAAGTCAGTATAGGATCATCTGAATCTGATGACGCTTACTCAATGCCTGAGGTATTCAATAGTGACGATAACATCTTAGACCCTAATTATGGTGGGGATTATGATGATAATGGTAACTCCAGTGACCAGCACTAGATTGTGCACAGCATTGTTACTGACCTCGATTTGCAACCAACAGAAGATATGTGGTGTAATACCACAACAGATAGTCCTAATTTTCAGTTTGATAATGCTGTTAGTGGTATCCAATTTGTGTTTGAAAATACACCGACTGCAGCCGAATGAATGTTTTGTAAAGTTCTGGGATGATGACGTTATGAACATGATTGTCACTCCAAATGTCCGTCAATAAGAAAAAGTTTCTCGATGAATCCATTATATTATAGCCCTGTTTTTCATCGTCATATCTCTGGAAGACGTTTTGAAGATCTTCTAAGATGTTTTAGTTGCTCTTACAGACATATTGACGAAAATATTAATGTCAAATTACTTAGAAGTGCCGTTGTTCTTAGACGAATTAGTAATGTTATTTCGTGGTCAGTTGAGCTTTCGGCAGTATATTAAATAAGATTCGGCAAGTACGGAATAAAGTTTTAAGTACTCTAGATCATGGACATCATATCTTCAATGCACAACTTTTATAGTAAAAACTCTTAAAACTCTTTCTAAAACTCTTCTTGTTGAAAAACCCATACAACTAGTACCTTACGATCAGATATCGTAAAATAAATCTTGCCGAAATCGTAAAAGTCAGGATAAAGAAAGGTGAACACCGTTGGAGCCGATGTGGAGAGATAAAATATCATTCCAAATCGATTGCTGCAAAAAAATATGTATGGCATTGACAAAATAAAACCCGAGCAAGTAGCCAAATACAATAAGTTTATTTCTGGCGTTGACTGCAGTGGCCAGGGAGACAGCGAGATGTTAAAAAAAAGTAATTAATGTTCCATCCACTAGCCATTTCTCTTTGGAATGTATTTTACAAAAAAAAAAACACTAGACAAACAGTTATCGTTCCTTCAGTTTGGCAAAAAAACTGTAAAAAAATATTTGGGAATTGATAAAGATTAGCATAGAAAATTAGTGAAGAACCATTACATGGTTCCAAAAAGCGACCATCGTATCAACAAATAGCAAACAGTCACTCATTCTGAAATGCCCTCTCGATAAAATACCAAATCCAAGAGATCCAAATAAATCCTACCATTTGAGATACAAACATTGTGCATTAAAATCTATACGAAACGAGACCAAGTACCTTTGTAAAACATGCTCCAGCTCTTTGTGTCGAAACTTGCTTTGAAGATCGCCTCTCATTTTTCGTGTGACGGGAAGTGCCGTCGTGTATGCAGTTCACGAAAATATACTTTGCTAGAGACAAGACTTTGTATAAATAACCTGCGATATGCTGATGACACTGTCATACTGGCAGATAATGCTGAAGCCCTGCAACTCTTAATAGACCGAGTAACGACAGCCTGTAGCGAATTTGGAATGAAATTGAATACAAAGAAGGCAAAAACGATGGTCATCAGCAAGCACCAAAACAGAAGGGTGAAGATCAATGTCGACGGAACAGATCTGGAAAGAGTAACAAGAACAACGTACCTTGAAAGTAATCTTGATGAAACTTAGGTTCACTCACTAGAGATCAGAAGACGCCTGGAAAAGGCACGTACAATGATTTACAAAATGGAAAAAGTTCTATGCAACCGCCAACTGGGCATCTCATTGAGAACTAGAATACTTAAGAGCTATGTTTTCTCCACCTTGCTCTATGGTGTTGAAGCCTGGACAATGACAGAAGCAACACAAAAAAGAATCCAAGCATTCGAACTCTGGTGTTACCGTAAAATGCTCAGAATATCCTACATGAGCCATACAACAAATGCGAAAGTCTTGCGGAGGATGAATAAGGAAAGAGAGCTTATGCTTATAATAAAAGAACGGAAAACACAGTATTTTGGTCACATCATAAGAAATCAAAAGTATGAACTGCTCCACCTTATAATCGAAGGCAAAGTCAATAGCAAAAGAGGACCAGGAAGAAGACGCAACTCTTGGCTTAAAAACCTACGGCAATGGACGAACATGACCTCCATAGAACTATTCAGGGCTACTAGAAATAAGATTAAATGGGCAAATGTAATGGCTCACGTCCTTAAGGATAAGGCACCGAAAGAAGAAGAGACAAGACGGTACTTGCCTCTTCCCATTTTTTTGCCTCTTCCCATGTTTACTCCTTTTAATTTTACTTTCGATAAATTAACGTTTTTAAAAGATGTGTCTTTCTGGGAACACTGTATTATGCCATACTGTTCGGGAACGCGTTAATTTGAGCAAATCATTTCTTGAAACCTTAGGAGGAAGGGAAAGATAAAAAACGATCAATAATTTAAAGCTCCTAAAGTAAAAGAAAACACCAAATTGTGTTTCTATTGTAAAACTAGGTTTTGTTTTATATTAAAGGCATTGGCCATGCAGGGAATTTTATATAACATACAGAGAATAAACATTCACTTATAAAAAAGATACTTTATATGAACAGGTGTATAAGAGACGTTATTTATTAAATGAAAACCATTTGTTCATTAAATCCAGATAAAGAAAACGTTGTTTAGATCACACCTATATGCAGTATGTTAATCTCCACTCTATAATTATGAAAATAATAAATAAAACTTTCTTTATTTGCAGTATCTTTAGTATAAAGTTACATATTGTTACCGGTTCATGCAGAAAGCATTAAAATTGATAAACTCAGTGTTCTAAGTGGTGAAATTAGTCCAATAACATTCCAATACGGAACGAGAATGCATAAAAGAATATTTCTCTTACGAAATAAAGGCAGTTTTTATATGTGAAGTCCATTGTTCTATTATCAAAGTAATTATGATTGCCATGGCAAACTAGTCAAACATCTGTTACTTTTTTAACAGAAATATTTACCGGATAACAAATCCCTGTCTATGCCCGCTGTAATGACCGTCGGAAAATCGATACACAATTTACTATCTAGATTATAGTCAGCAGTAACGGCGAGGCCCTCTGGCGGTCTCTGAGAGGCATTACGGCAGTATTAATTACTCCAACGACTGGACTAACGGCTTTTCTCTTAATCCGAATTATCCGTACAAAATGAAGTGTTATCTACTTCGGTGCAGGCTCTTTGAATATTTACCTTAATACGTGGACCCCAACGCATTCGAAGGGAGGAGAGAGGTCATTTTTGCCATAATGGTTGCCGATTTGCATCGCTACATTGCAGAATTTAAATTGATGGAAGGGTTAACTGGTAATGGGAGTGCTGCAACGAGCGGATTCGGTTGTCCTTTACCAAAATTTACAATTTGGTAATGAAGGGGAGAGATATATTTACAGAAAAAGAAACAAGGGGAGCTTGGACTTTATAATTTGGTTATACCTTGCTCTTTTACATGATATTCTTGTATGATGCAACATTTCAGCACTTTTATTAATCATATAATTTGATTTATGCAAACGTTATTAAATATTGGTCGGAGCAATAGATCTTACTGTCAAGGATTTTTCATCTCACTCTCACTATTCATATATCCCTTTACCGAAAGAATCTTTGTTTTTTGTATTTTTACGGAAAAATATTGAAAATAATCTAGCTACAAGGAGAACTGTATTGACAAACAAATTTTTGGTGCCAAATATGGAACATCATGCCACAATGTAATATTAAAGTCAAATTATTTTGAAGCTACAGCATGACACTGCAAGTAACACACTATATATGTTTTCCCTGTACAGTCTGGAACTTTGCATCTGGACCTAGAGCTCTCATCTCAATAGGGAAAACGATAAAGCCCATCTTTACGGATGTCTTCTTGGTGTATTTCTTTAGTGGGTCCCTTTTTTCGTTTGTACTCGTACATCTGCTGAATGCTACTACTTGACGGTCTTCCCACTCTGTTCTGTTTAATTGGTTTGGATAGAGCATCGGCTATTGCTAGTTTGGTATCCAAAAGGGGTAAATCAAATTTCTTCATTTTTTTGGCTATAGTGTATTTTTATGTATGAGAGAGTAATAAAACAATAAATTATGTATGCAAATCCCTAAACTGTTGAAACGGGTGACTCAATGAAAAACAGATATTTGTCAACAAGTTTACAGAAATGAAATCGTAGGCTTCCACGGCCAGAGTCAGAATTATAGTTTATTCGTCTTCCGGGTTTGGACCGTGTCATTTGTGAGTGACCCAAAAAGTTTACAAAAGTATATAGGAAAACAATTTTAAATTGAGTATGACCACCAGGTATAAAGGTTGGAGCAGAATAGAATACAATAGTTGTGAGGGTTATTAATCCCTAAATAAGGTTGCCAGTGTCGGAGTGATGGAGGTTAACAGGTACTAATGAATTTGCAAGAAATGTAAGATGTTTATTTTATATAACCAATAAAAGTTTAATAAGTACCTACCTATTTGCAAAATAAAGTTTAATTCTCTAGATAAAATAAAACCTTTTATTTTATCTGAAATGAGTGCATTCCACGAAGTAAGGGTTTCAACAATCAAACATTTAATTCTTTAATTCCAGGAATCTACGACAGTAATTGACTAGATAATTACCTTCTAAACTTATTCCACGGAAAATGTGATAGTGGGTTTTTCCGTTTTGTAGGAAGATCCAAGTGGCGTATTCAAAATTCTTAACAGTTCACTAAAAGTAGGTACTTCAGTTGCAAGGTGCAGTTTATTGTGTATACTAGTGTTATGGAAAATTTGCGATTTACAGAGTTATTAAAGAAGAGAAATGTGGTAGTTTTCAAATGCCACGTAATGCTCCAGGGAAACCAAAATTTCAAATAGAATATCATTTTAAAGAAGGACTTCGACGGAAAGTGCATGAATTCTTCTTTAGACAAGAATTTCCAACATTGGATAAAGTTCTTGTCTCAGTTCGAGATGATAAGGATTACCCAGAAATGAGTCGAAGTACGTTATGGAAACTTTTAAAAGAAATAGGCTTCCGCTGGAAAAAGAATCCCAGAAAGTCTATTTTATTAGAAAGAAGCGATATTGTCATATGGAGAAGACATTTTCTAAGAACCATAAAGGAAATGAGAAACTAAAAAAGAAAAATATTTTATCTTGATGAAACATGGATCAACGAGGGTCATACACCAAATAAATTTTGGCAGTATGAAACTGTTACAAGTCAAAGGCACGCTTTTGTAAATAACTTATCTACTGGTTTAAACCCACCATCAGGAAAGGGACGCAGGCTGATAATAGTACACATTGGCAGTTCAGACGGTTTTGTTGAAGGTGGTTTATTAACTTTTGAATCAACTCGTACCGGTGACTACCATGAAGACATGAACGCTGATGTCTTTCAAGAATGGTTCGAACAAATGATAGATCTTCTTCCTAAGAACTACGTAATAGTAATGGATAATGCAAGTTATCACTCCAGACTTATAGAAGGACTGCCCACAACCAAGTGGTTAAAAAAAGACTTGCAGAATTGGCTGAGTTCAAAAAATATTACGTACCATCCCGGATCTATAAGAAAGGAACTTTATTCGTTGTGTGCCCTTCATAAAGAAAAATTTAAAAAATACGAAATTGATGAAATTGACAAAAATCGTGGAATGACAGTACTTAGATCCCCACCATATCATTGTGAATTAAACCCGATTGAACTGGTATGAGCACAGATAAAGAGTGAAGTTTCAAGAAAAAATACCACTTTTAAAATTCATGATGTTAAACAGTTGTTTTTGGAGGCCATAAATAATGTAAAACCTGAAAACTGGGAAAAGTCAGTAAATCACACTATTAAAGAAGAGGAAAAAATGTGGAAGCTGGACAATATTACTGATAAAATGATCGAGCCAGTTATTATAAATCTTGGTTCTGAAAGTTCATCTTCTGAATCTGATTTGGATTTGTAACAAGTAGCTGTAAGTTTTATATTAATATTTTTATTCATCTATTTAACATACCTTAGACGGTTTTAAAAACTCTTTTTCTCTTTCGTAATTTTTAAAAATTAAAAAAAATGTGAATTTTTTAAAACCCTTTTTAATGTAGGCCAGTCAGTTCTAATATAGTGTGTGATAAAAGAGGTCACTTTTGTTTACATACACATAACACTTTATAACACTGAAATAATTCATTTATTTTTTACAATTATCCAAAGTAATTTTTCAATTAATCTTGAGCACGCCCATGGAGTGGTCGGAGA